AAGCTTATGCTTCATCAGTTAGCACTGTGCTAACAGCATGTCTAAGTCATCACACGCTCACCTCAGACTGGGTCGAGTTAAGTAATCTTAAATAGACTTGATTCTGTTGTTTCTGACACTGTATGACTCAAACATGGACTAAAGAACATTAGCACAGTTAAACAAAGTCGCAGCCATTTTGCAGTGTGAATGTTGTCTGTACTGGTTATTGTCCATGTCTGTGGATGGCAGTGCGTCATACAGTGTTAGAAACCACTTAAGCAACTCTACTACTGATTACCGAGCGACTCTATGAACGCAGAGCACTAGAGGGTGCTTCACGGCCAACTGGTGGTCGCGGCCCACAGGCTGAGAAATCCTTTTGAGTTTTGGTTCCTCTCAGTGGTTCTTCCTCATGTTCTTAGGGACTTTTTCCTTTTGAGTTTTGGTTCCTCACAGTGGTTCTTCCTCATGTTCTTAGGGACTTTTTCCTTTTGAGTTTTGGTTCCTCTCAGTGGTTCTTCCTCATATTCTTAGGGACTTTTTCCTTTTGAGTTTTGGTTCCTCTCAGTGGTTCTTCCTCATGTTCTTAGGGGCTTTTTCCTTTTGAGTTTTGGTTCCTCTCAGTGGTTCTTCCTCATGTTCTTAGGGACTTTTTCCTTTTGAGTTTTGGTTCCTCTCAGTGGTTCTTCCTCATGTTCTTAGGGACTTTTTCCTTTTGAGTTTTGGTTCCTCTCAGTGGTTCTTCCTCATGTTCTTAGGGACTTTTTCCTTTTGAGTTTTGGTTCCTCACAGTGGTTCTTCCTCGTGTTCTTAGGGGCTTTTTCCTTTTGAGTTTTGGTTCCTCTCAGTGGTTCTTCCTCATGTTCTTAGGGACTTTTTCCTTTTGAGTTTTGGTTCCTCTCAGTGGTTCTTCTTCATGTTCTTAGGGAGTTTTCCTTTTGAGTTTTGTTCCTCTCAGCGGTTCCTCCTCATGTTCTTAGGGGCTTTTTCCTTTTGAGTCCTGGTTCCTCTCAGTGGTTCTTCCTCATGTTCTTAGGGGCTTTTTCCTTTTGAGTTTTGGTTCCTCTCAGTGGTTCTTCCTCATGTTCTTAGCGGCTTTTTCCTTTTGAGTTTTGGTTCCTCTCAGTGGTTCTTCCTCATGTTCTTAGGGGGTTTCTACTTTCGAGTTTTAGTTCCTCTCAGTGGTTCTTCCTCATGTTCTTAGGGACTTTTTCCTTTTGAGTCTTGGTTCCTCTCAGTGGTTCTTCCTCATGTTCTTAGGGACTTTTTCCTTTTGAGTTTTGGTTCCTCTCAGTGGTTCTTCCTCATGTTCTTAGGGACTTTTTCCTTTTGAGTTTTGGTTCCTCTCAGTGGTTCTTCCTCATGTTCTTAGGGACTTTTTCCTTTTGAGTTTTGGTTCCTCTCAGTGGTTCTTCCTCATGTTCTTAGGGACTTTTTCCTTTTGAGTTTTGGTTCCTCTCAGTGGTTCTTCCTCATGTTCTTAGGGAGTTTTCCTTTTGAGTCCTGGTTCCTCTCAGTGGTTCTTCCTCATGTTCTTAGGGGCTTTTTCCTTTTGAGTCTTGGTTCCTCTCAGTGGTTCTTTATGCTCTTTGGAGTGAAGAGGCCACTATGCATTAAGCCAGACGTACACTGTGCGATTTTAGCCCGTTTTTAAGCCCGACTTGGTCGACTGAATTTCATGATCAGGCCGAATTTCAGCTTCATCGGCCGTCGTTTGCTGTGCAGTGTGAGAGGGGAAACGATGCCCAATTATCTGTCCAAACGAGCTCCGACTGAGCAATCGGATGATCGAATGGATTTTCCCCCTCGCAAACCCATTTCTCAAAATCGCAACCAAAACCACACACAGTCACCACCACGGCTTCTACACGGAGGCAAAGAAGTCCACATTTGCAGCACCAGCGTCCGTACATGACAACTTTGCTTCGTTAGACTGAGTTGAATTGCGAGGTATAAATAAATACAGTGTTTTTCTGTCTGTAGACTGGCTGGTCTTCGGCTTCACCGCACACTGTGGCACCAGTTAGCAAAGCTGTTGTAGCGGTTTGTCAATGGCTGAATCTGACTTCTACACCAAAACAGTCCCCTGTTTGTCCAGTATGGAACTGTGCACACACGGCTGAATCTCAGAAGGCTGTTTATTAGACATGTGGTGCACTTTATGGGTGCAGGAGCAGCTATTTTAATATGTGGTGCACTATGTAGGGAGCAGGGAGCCGTCTGAGATTCAGCCAGTGTTTTGGACAGGACGTTGGAGGCGCAGCGTGTTGTTTTGAATGAAACAGCTGTATTGTTGACAGAGCGTCTGTAGGGGCCGTGTTTCATGTGCAGTGTGAGCACCCATGTCGCGCCAGGTCAGTCGGGCCCAGAGTTTTCGCATGGTGAGAGTATATATATTGCAGGCTTTGGTCGAACACGATGGCCGATTTAAATGTACAGTGTGAATCACCAAAGACCAAGACTTCTAAAATCAGTGTCTGCCTGGCTTTAGTGGATTGAGGCTCATAGACTGCTGCCTTAACCTGCTCTAGGCCTTAGACTTGGTCCTGTCCAGAGAAGGTGTACAGAAGACAAGAAGACAAGGCACAATAATGCACAGACTGTCTGATGTGAACTGTACGCTAAAACACCACAGCTGCAAGGGTTCTTTAGTAACAAAAATGGCTCTATATAGAACCGTGAACATTTAAAGAACCCTTGCATGACTAAATGCTTCTTTGCATGGTGAAATGGTTCTTCAGATTGATGGAGAATGTGCTGTAGATGGTTCTTTATAGCACCTTTTTGAAAAGCGTTCTGTATAGCACCAAAAAGGGTTCTGCTGTTGTTATGATGTCAAGGTTGTAACAATAGACGAACCCTTTTTGGTGCTATGAAGAACGCTTTTCAAAAAAGGTGCTATAAAGAACCGTCTAAAGCACATTCTCCATCAATCTGAAGAACCATTTCACCATGCAAAGAACTATTTAAGTAGGAAGCGGTTCTATACAGAACTCATGGTTTTAAACTTTACTAAAGAACCCTTAAAGAGCCGTCTCTTTTAAATGTGTAGGCTGCTGTCATACAGACTATTGACCAATATAACAGTACATTTTACAGGTTGTCATAAACCTGAGAGACATTTTCAACTGAATGAGCTGTTATTTGTGTTAATTGGTCATTCAGTCTGACCTGTTGAGTGTCTGAGGACGCTGGAAGCCCAAACCTGACGAGTACAGGAGGAGAAATATTGTTTCTTGGCAGCTCATGTCAAAATTTTGACTCCGTTTCTTCAAATAAGACCGTATTTTCTAACAATTATCACTTGTAATGTTAAAATACAGATTTTTCTCAAAATACTGACTCAAAATAATTTCTTATTTACTTGAAATTTTGACTTAGTTTGGCAAAATAATGACTTACTTTCATATCAAAATCACTTTTAGTTCACAGTGGTGGTGATAGGAACCAGACGTCCACCTCTAGAAGCTCCCTCACAGAAAGTTACACTCTTAAAAACGATGAGAATTGTTCTATGTAGAACCATAAACACTCAAAGAACCCTAGGGTTCTTTACATCATGAAAATGTTCTTCAGACTGATGGAAAATGTGCATAAATGTGACGTAGATGGTTCTATATAGAACCTTTTTGAAAAGGGTTCTGCACCAAAAATGGTTCTTTCATTTTTATGATGTCAAGCTTATTACAATAGAAGAACCCTTTTTTTGGTGCTATTTAGACCCTTTTTCAAAAAGGTTCTATATAGAACCATCTACAGCACATTCTCCATCAATGCGAACAACACTTTGATGATGCAAAGAACCCTTCAATCATACAAAGGGTTCCTTGAGTGTCATTAGTTCTATATAGAACAGTTTTCTTTACTAAAGAGCCCTGGCAGAACCATATTTTTAAGCGTGTGACAATAGAAGAACCCTAATGTGTGCTATATAGAACTTTTTTCAAAAAGGTTCAATATAGAACCATCTACAGCACACTATTTATTAACCTGAAGACCTCTTTCATGACACAAAGAACCATTTAATCATGCGAAGAGTTCTCTGAGTGTTCATGGTTCTATTTAGAACCATTTTCTATACTAAAGAACCCTTGAAGAACCATTTTTTTAAGAGTATACTACATGAAATGGTTATGAATTCACTGCCTGATGTCTGAAACATTGTTTTATGATAGTTTTGAGAAGATTTTAGCCTTAAATTTCATTCATGGTGGAGGGATACATAATATGCAGGGCGCTGTGAGGCAAAATAGTCCCCAAAGCAAACTTATTTCAGATTTTCCACTATTTCACCATCATCAACATTCCATACAAACCTCAGAAGACTCGTGTAGGTTCACTGGTGGTTCTGGACAGTAAATAAAATGTCTATATTTGTGTTGTAGTCATGGCGACCCCTGGTTTCTATCACCACCACTGTAAAGAAATCTGAACCATTTCACACCAAACCACTCTAAATCACTCTGATTACGTCTCAAGCATTGAGTAATGTGAAAAAAAAATTTGGTGGAGTTCCCCTTTCAGTAATAAATCATTAGTTAAAAAATGTATCTTAACCTATTTCTTAAGACAGTAATATTTCATAATTTTATTTACTCATATTTTAAACATTAGAACACTTTTCTTCCTTAAGAGTCATTTCATGATCGTGTTAAAGCAGGACTTGTGAATGTGGTCGCGTTACTCCAGTCCGTTCCAGTCCGTTCCAGCGATCCGTGCCGCGCTTTGCAGGCATCCCGAGGAGAGAAAAAAAAGAAAGAAAGAAAAAAAGTCGCCTCACCTGCTGAGCTTTCCAACATATCGCTCCGCCGGCTCGGACTCGCTTTATTTATTTTTATTTTTTGGGCGAAAATTATACTTCGCCCGCAGCTCAGAATCACGAGTGTGATTCGTAGGTTCTCGTCGGTGCCGATTTGTCCGCGAGGACGGTTGATTCACCTTCCAAAAACGGGCTCCACGAGGCGGACTGCTTTCGGCACCACTTCGCGGCGGTGCTCGCTTTAGATTTCGAGGGGGGTGTGATTCGGCCGCACTCAAATATGGCTACCATGGAGTGGGAGCTACAACTTTAACAGCTATTCGGATCTAAATAGAGGCTTAACGGTCGTTTTTTTCGCTTTGTGGAGCCTGATTTTTGTGGGATATGTCCTTCGATTCTGCAGTGTGACGCGAAATACGAGGAAAATAGCCCGTGTGGATGTGTTTTGTATAGCTGTGTGTGGTTTTTTTCCTCTTTTTTTTCTTCGGGGAGGCTCGAAATTACAGCCCTCGCGAGCCGAACGGAATAATTTGGATTTGAAAGTAAAAACCGTCGTCGTGCTGAGGTGTTTTCTCCTCGGCTTATTTCCATGGAAAGAGGGTTTTTTCGCGCTGCCAGCGGCTCTTAGGACTCCCTAAAGCGGATAAAGCGGCTCGGAATGACTTGTTTACGGAGAGGAGAGGCATCGTTGGAAGAAGAAAAGCCCGAAAAGCCCTCAGCAGCACAGGGATGTAACGTTAGCCCAAAACCCTCCAGGGTTTTTTTTCTCTCTCGTGATGAAACGGAATAAAAGAAGCTGCTGAAGTCGAACCGAGGGGTCGAAGAGAGTCTGGGTCGCCCTTTTGGATTATTAAGCTAGGCTGGAAGGTTTTTTTTGGACCAGACGTTGGAGAATAACGTTAAACTGGATCTTTTTCCCCCCTTCGCCAGCGGCCGTTGTGGAGCCCTGTGTGTCCGTTAGCCTCTCCTTCTCTGAGGGGATAACGGTAACGGTCCGCCTTCCCCTCCGAGAAAAGCCTCAGAAACACTAAACAGAAGTACTGTGTGACCAAAAAAACACGCTTATTGACATGAAGGAAATATCTAAACATTGCTAGGGCTGAAGAGGTAAGTCTGAGTGCGGTAATTGAGCCGTTTTGTTGTCGATAAATACACTTAAGGCGGTTGTTTAGTGAAGGGAATGCTAGTGTTGGTTGTATTTAGAGCCACGACTTCTCCGTAGAACCGTTTGGATGCTTAAACGGCTCAGATTGATGGAGAACGTGTTGTGGCCGATTTTGTGTGGTTCTATGAAGAGCCCTTTTCAAGAAAGGGTTGCAGAACCCTCTGTGGTGCCGTGTAGAACCGTTTCCAAAAGGTTCTGTGTAGAAAGGAAGCTGGAATCAGCTTGTTGTTCGAATTTTCCCGTTCCACCTTAAATGGTGCAGCAGTTACGTTCTGGCGCCTCAGGCGCCAGAACGTAACTGCTGCACCATTTAAGGTGGAACGGGAAAATTCGAACAACAAGCTGGCGAATATGGAGCCTAACTTCAGCCTCCTTATTTATACCCGTGTAAAACGCATCCTCCTTCACTCTGAAGAACCTTTTCACCGTGCTAAAGAACCGTCTGACCACCTAACAGAGCCGTTCCCTTCACTGAAGAACCCCAGCCTAAGTTAACTAGCTGGCTATCACGTTTCTCCCACAAATCCAGCTAACACGTCACCCCCTCACAGCCTTTTCCCTTCGTTTCTTTCCACTCTTCTCCTTCCTTCCCCAAAGCCTTTCACAATAGTAACCCTAGGAGTGCTGAAGACAGGCGAACGGATGATTTTAGAAGCTATTTTCCTTCAAAAAACACATCTAACGTGAGCTTTCTCCACTGAGAAAGAAAGGCCTGGTGGTCCTTTCAAGCCTTGCCCGATTTCCCATCCAGTTAAAAGTCTTTCAGTCGACAGCACAAAAGAAATGAAGTCTTCCTCACTTCGCACAGCGTCCCAAATCTATTCTACCTTGAGCTGAGAGTCCACAATGAAAATCTCAGCCGTCGAATCCAGCCCCCCTCTTGTGGAGCACTTTCATCATCGCCCAGCTTTTGTGCGTTTTCTGTCAAGATGACTCAGTTAGTGAAATAGTCATTTTATAAACAGATACTGGACTTTTTCCTCCATTCCCCCCCCCAGCACAGAGCTCCTGAGCCCAGTGAACAAAGGCAAAAAGCTGGACATGCCCCCCTCATGTGGACCACTTGCTTTGTGTTCGGTCCTTAGACAAAGGCTATCAGTTTTTTCCTTGTTCTTACAGCCTTTCCAGGCGAATAACTGGTGTTTTGAAACTGGAAAGGAGCGATATATCAGATAGGATGAGCGCTTCGGCCTGGCCGAGTCTAGACGTGGTTAAAAAGAGCCAGCTCACTTTTGGTGGAGCCGTTGGTAGTGTTGCCCCCCAACTTTTTCCTCTTAATTGGAGCGATCCGCCTGGAATATTTTCCCGTTTCCGGTCCGATGCACATACCTAACTGGTCTAACATCGCTTATCGATGCATAGAGGACCTTCGGTCTTCAATTCCGATGGTGTACGACAGCATATATAGCTTCACGTGTGGTTGGAATTCGATTTAAATGCTTGTTAGAGCCCCAAAAAAGCTACTTAAGGTTGCCAGTCCTTTAGCTACGAAGAGTTAATGAAATCTTCCAACGTTCCTTGGCTGTGCTTGTGATTCAGTGCATGCTGAGTCATGACAGCCGGTGAAGAGAAGCAATGGAGGAGTCATGGCTTT